CTTTGCTTGATGGGCTATGTTTATGGTTTAGTTGCTCCATGTTGTCTTTATTTGTTTTGTGGGATGAGGTCAGAACACATGGTAATTCCATTTGAAAACTTTTAGCTTTATTATATGTTCAACTGAAGAACCTGTTTGCTTCACATAGGACTTAGTAATCTCCTCCACTAGATGAGTATGGGTAGCTTTGTTCTTCCTATATTAGTCATTTTGAGTACTGATTATTGTGCTTGAAAACACAGAACTCAAGTAATCCAGCAGCAAGTCAGGGACCAGCGACATCTGAGAGCAACAACCTACCCATATCAGGGCCATCATCAGTTTCAGCTTTTGGTAAACCCAAGGACTCTACCAGTTCTAAAGATGTTCACTTCACGGAGCATCCATTCCTCATGAGGGGTGACCGAGTAAGGCCAGCAGGACCTAGCAAGGCCGATCTTGAGTTGCTAACACAAAACAGAGGCAATGCTATGCAACGCTACAAGGAGAAGAAGAAAACACGAAGGTATGCTTTCCTTGGTGATTTTCTTGTGATCATCTAATTACCGATTTATCAAAGTGACTTGATTATTAAAACTTGACCCATGCCATGAATAGATATGATAAACATATACGCTATGAATCAAGGAAGGCAAGAGCAGATACTAGGAAGCGAGTGAAAGGTCGATTTGTGAAGGCTACTGAAGCTCCTGATGGTTAACGTGTACTGAGACTGATCTCCTTGCTTTGTTTGTTGTATATATTTCTTAGGTTCCTCCACAGTAAATTTGTAATTTAGCATTCTATATTTCTTGCATTCTTTTTAACGCTGGCTCCAGCAAATTTAAAATTTGATCCCTTCCCCTTCCTAACATAACAAATAGGGTGTGTTTTGAAGTATGGTAGAGTGGGCAGAGGCGTTCGTGGAGGATGTTTGGGCTTCTGGCTGTGTCTTGGTGTGCCTTGAGCCTTGAGGACTGGCCACAGTGAAGTGGCCTCAAGCAGAGTAAGGGCCTCACTCATTTCTAAATAAAAAGTAAATAACAAAAATGAGTAGTTGTATTCTATGGAGTTATTTTAGAAGATAATATTTGAAAATAACAAAAATTCACTGTGCACTATATAGTTTGGTTTATTTCAGTTTGGTAAATTGTTAAATAGTTTTACAAGTGCATAATCAAAACCCTAGGTAGGTCATAAACATACTAACAAATTATTAATTAGATCATACTCATAACAAAAGAATTTAAGTTTAATCCAACTCAAACATTTAGAAAAAAATTATGTTTAGCTTATTAATTTCAATGCAAAATGGTAAATTCACGAACTTTTTGTACATAATTTATAAACAATTAGCGAACATAGATCATCAACTTTCACCTAATAAACATCTCTACAAACTGTTAAATACCATATTCTAACTAAAAATCGCAATAAAATATATATTTGTGGGAACTCTGTAACTAGGGATGGATCTTCAGTGAAAAACAGAATAATAATAAAAAATAAAAAATTTGTGTGTGTGTGTGTGCGTGTGCGTGTGTCTGTGTGTGTGTGTTGTTGAGACAAAAAAATTATAGAATAAAGTATTTGCTTGGTATAGTTTGTTTCATGTTGTTATGCACATTCGTCGAGAACCATGGTTAGTTTTAGCTATGCAACCATTGTTTTCTATGCCAAAAAAAATATACTCGGTTAATTTTTTTATACTAATTTATATTTCGATAAAGGAATTAAAGAACTTAAGATATTTGCCCCCATCAGTCATAAATTATGGATCTGTCTCTATTTGTAACCAATATAAACGTATCACTCTATCCGTTATTGTATTTATATCATTCTACTCAAGGGCAGCTTAAAAAGTTCAAAGGCGAAATATTTAAATGAGGTCTTATTTATCGAAATTAAAAAAAATATTAAAATTTTATTCTTCTAGCATTTTGAGATGTAAAATTTTTAATTAAGTTTTTATAATAAGTTCTTTTAATATTTCTTTTTCAATTGATAATATAGTCAATTCATTTAATCTTTCTTAAGATATTGTTGATCTTAAATAAGATTTTGTTAATTTTAATTTTGAAAAACTTTTTTCTCTTGAAGCAACATTTATTGGAATTGTTAACATTAATTATTCTAAAAGTAATACATGTATTTAGAAAAGAATCGAGTCTTATTATATGATTAAATATGTCAATGGGATTGTTTTCCTCTATTTGTATAATTTTCTTAAAATATTTTTAAATCTGAAAATAAATTTAAGCCATCAATATTAGAATAGTTTTTATATTTTAAAGAACATTAAAGATTAACGTAATATTCTTTTAAACTGTTATCATCTAATGACTTTAACTCTTTACTGCTAAATAGAAAATCAAAAATATTTTCATATATTTTAAATTGTTCAAATCTACTTTGGAGTGAAAAAATTAGTTGATCTAATATATATATATATATATATATATATATATATCTATATATATATATATATAAAGTAATCAATTCTAAATGATTCTTTAAGAGATCTAGTCATTTCATTATCAATGTTCTCATCAAATTGGTTTTTTCTATGAATGATACGTGTATCACAAAATTTAGGTTCTATATTCATTTTAGATGTAATCTCTTTAAAAAAAATCATAGCAGTTGCAAACCCATCTTCTCTATATTTTTCAAAAGAAAGAAAGAAGGCCTTTTAATTGTCTTATGGGAACATCAATACACATATCTTTTGATTCCAAATTTTTACTGACAAAGTTAACAACAAACAATATATCCTACCAAATAGTCATACCCAAAAAAAACTCAAAATTTTCAGGCTCATATGTTTCTAAGCAATTAGCATCAATTTTAGTTTTAGGATCTCTACTAACTTCAGCTAATTTCAATAACGCATCTGTTATTTGTGGAGCTTGGAATCATATTGTTTTAACACTTTCAATATGACTTTTCCAACATGTTTGTGACAATGATTTAAGATTTAGACTAAGTATTGTTTTATAAAATTTTCCATCATTTGATAGAAGAAGAAAATAGTGAAAATATACGATGTACCACTCCAAGAAATGGTGTAGCTTTAGTGCAAGAATTTGCCATGTCACAAAGTACTAAATTTAGATTGCGACAACCACAAGGTGTATAAAGTACTAAATTATTATTAGTTGTCCTCACTTCTCGATGCTCTTTAAAACTAACCTTTAATAAAACGAAAGTTTCATTATCAATATGCTTGTTGGCTCTATTGTTATTAAATTCCCTTTATTTAGGGGCTTGTTATGCTTTTAACTAATATTGCTTATTAATTATGAAGCTAAACTACATATATGTTTTCAGTTGAAGAACATACTATTTCCCTATTATGTTACAGAAAGTTTAATTTCTTTTTTGGCTTATATAATATGTTTCTGTGAAAAATCTAGTTTTTATACCTATAGCATGTCAAGCCTGTTTCACCCATCATTTTCTTTTAATGGTCTATCAGAAGGTAAGTGATTTTTGTATGACTTCTCTACTTACCAACTGATTAATAGAAAATGAAGAAGTGATCTAATTTGCTAAACTATCCTTTCTATTAATAAGATTCTTGCCATATATACTTAATACTTGTCATCATTTTGTGGCTCACACCTAAGAAGAATTAAAATTTCAATTCTATGCACCAAGTTGAACATTTAAGTTGTCCTATACTTTTCCTACTTAGAAGTTGTGAAATTAGTGGGTGTTGAAGCTTTCTTCTAGTTTCTCATAGAAGATATTTGACAAATATGAGCCTTATTTACAATTGAGAAGAGTGTTCCAATTGCTAGTATAGTATAGTCCAATGAGACCAACATTGTCTTTCTAGAGTTACGGGAGTGTGGGAAGTCAAGTTTTGTTTGTTTTCAACTTATCTTGTCAATTACAAACTTATTCATGCTTCTTATACACCTAGTTAAGTTAGCCACTTAAAGATGAGTTTTTCACTTTTTTATAGACTCCAAAATGATTTCTGTAATTTCTTTTGATAAACCAAGCAGCTAGTTAAAAATGAATGACTTTACTAATAACACATTCACCATTTGTGGAATAGCACTTTCCCTCTAGTTATTCAAGTACAAAATGAGAAGATAGATCGGTTGTTGAATGGGTAGACTACGTGCTAGGGTTGTCATGTAGAAGAATCTTCTTAAACATGGGCCTTGATTATATGAAAAGAAATATAGCCATCAACATATACATTTCTTTATACATGATCATATTATCTCTACTGATTTTAAATAAAGAAACAAGCCTTTTGGCGCGTTCTTAAAATTCAAGATGACTATTTGTGATAATGTGCATAGTGTGAAGTCATAAATGGCTATGGAATTTATGTTTAAATCTATTGTTGAATACATTTGAGATTATGAAGAATACACGTCGTTTTTATAGAATGCACACTATTTTGAATAAGATTTGTATTTAGCATGATACTTCATTTATAAATGCCATCATGTCTTTTGCTAGCATATATTGATATGTGAAGAGTGGGGGGGTCTCACTATAGAAATTTCACTTGGTTGTTAAACCTAGATTCGAAAGTGAGATACCTTTTTTATTTTGATTTTGAGAAAACATATGACATGAAAGTAATGAAATTATGATATTGAACCATGGAAAAACTAGTACTTATTGGTTGATGCTACATGTTTATAACTTGTAGAGTTTGAGCATAAATTGTGATTGCCATGGATTTTATTCATAAATTGTCTTGAACAAGATAAATCTTGGTAAAGGTTTGTATGCAAATGAGTCACCATCCCATAAAATGGTTATTGATTATAGATGCTTTGTAAAGCTTTTTGCATACATTGTTTCATAACACATTCAAGTGGCATATTTTGAAACTTCATGGAAGCATGAAAACGTGGTTTCATGTTGCTAGGAATTAAGTATGGTTTTATTTTCCATTAATTTTATTTAAGAAGCATGAGTTGGCTTTAATGATCTGAAAGTTATGCCATGATTTTAAAGGCATACTTCTAGCACCAAAACAAATTTGGTTTTAATGAAAGCCTTTCATGGGCTATTATATGACCATTATTAATATTTCAAGATCTTTACTATTTTTAAAGCATATGCAAATCATTGATTTAAATGTTATTGACATAAATATTTATTATCATGGCATGCTTTTAAATTACAATTGGATTTGAACCCTTGGTTTGCATGATAAATTTTAAAGAGAAATTATCTTAAGTTTAGGTCCTATAGTTACGGCAGTAGGCATAACCTTTGTGCACAAAGACTAAACTTTAGACGGAGAAACAATGTTATTTTGAGTGTTAAAATCATAAGATGTGATAGTGGCTATTAACACAAGAGCATTATCTTCAGAGGTTACTTAAAAAGTTTGAACATTTTAATGTCGCACTTGTGAGTACTCCTTATGATACTAATATCCAATTAAAAAAAATAGAAGTGATAGTGTGGCTTAATCTAAGTATGCTCAGATTATTGTGAGTTTGATGCATTTGATGAATTATACTCGATTTGATATAACTTATGTTGTATAGTATTTTATATAATGGATGTCTTGTTGTATTAGAATGATACAATGAAGCTAACTAGATCTTAGATTCAAATGGGACAAAATCCACAAATAGATATGCATTCACCTTTGATAGGGGTGCTATAATTTGAAAATTAGCTAAACAAACAATCACTGCTAAATTTATAATGGAATTATAATTTGTAGCTTTGGAGTTAGCTGGCAATGAGGCTAAGTAGTTAAGAAACCTCATTGCAAATATTCCATTGGGAATGAAATTAATACCATCCGTGTTTATGCTTTATGATAGCCAAGCAACAATAACCATTGCAAAAAAATAAAACTTTCAATGATAAAAATAAACAC